GTGGCACTGGTGAACTCAGAATCCCTTCTCCTCCCATACTCCTCCAGATTCTGTGTCTTTTTCAGGCACTTACAGAGTTAGGGTGTCCTGTACATTCATCGCTTTGGTAAATTGGTATGTTAACTGAATGTATGTTCTGTGTCTCTCTCAACTCCATTCTCATTCAATAAATACTGCCTAAGTGCTAGGGGAGAGAAACGCTCACTATTTCTGCTTGTGCTTACCTGACTGATACGCAGCTTCTGCTGCCATCTCTGAAAGCCGTAACGCTGTCATCCAGCTGGATTCCAGCTTTAGGTATTACTGCTGTTTTGTTGTCATCTAGGAGTAAAACAAAGTATTACTTAGCTCGATGTAACAGTATCTGAATGCTCCTCCAAACAGTGCCTTTGTGAAAAGGTGAGCAAGCCAGACCAGAACTTTCTGAGCAGTTTTAAAACACAGCTTGCTGGCTGAAGGGAGACGATTGCTTACATCAACTCTGGCTCCTATTACCACCTGCCAGACTGCGTCCACCTCTTCTGAATTCATTTTCCCAAGAAGATTCGCGTATTGCTTGTAGAGAGACACCAGTGTATAAACTGCCTGCAAAGGAACCATTTCACACAGTTACGTGACAATCTGTACGTCACTGATGTTGTCTCAGTGTTAACTGGTGTTAATTAGCAAAATTGCTGAATTGCTTTGCTCTTAAGTTCACTGTAATTCTGGAGGCACTGACAGCGTTTGCTGTCTGCGTCCAGCAGTGCTGTGGACAGCATCTCTTTATACACTTGCCACACTAATGAGGAAGTAAACTGTAATGCAAATACTTTACTCAAATTGGCACTTACTTATAAAATTTAAACTGTATCTTGTTTCAGACTTAAATATGGCTCACTCCATTCTTCTGATGAAACTCAAGTTCATGGCCTTAGAAATGGGAACAGAAGGTAAATAAAATCCCTAAGGATACAGGGTGGCGTATCCTACTCACTCAGTACGCAGGTATCAGTAACTGTTATGAGTTTCTTCAGCCCCAGTTCTGAAACATGGGGCATTCTGGCTGAAGTTCAAGCTAAAAGCAACAGTCTAACAAAGCTAAACATAACTTCCATGTTTGGTACAGTAGAACAGTGAGCCCCACCCCGCTGTTTCCTAGGGACCTGGCATCTTTAAACCCCCACACCTCTTTCACTAAAACTCATTAAAAACCGAAGTCCGTTTTAAGTACAGTTTAACCGGTGCAGTTAGTGACAAATGATTTAGTATTTCCAGCACTAGCTAGAAGTGTGCAGTCTCTCAGCTTACCTTTGTATACTCTGTCAATGCCTCAATCAGTGCGTATGTTGTTTGGGAGAGGAGCGTTGAAGTACTGTCTGTTACCAGAGAAACTGCTCTTTTAATCAAGGCATCATTACTGAGAGAAACCGAGTCCTGCTTCTGAAAGACAAGACATTGGCATGGTCTTTGCGCTGCCTTTCCTGTGTAGGTTATTAATAACAACTAATGGTAAGGAGAAGCACCGCTGTTAATTACAAGGGCGGACAGCCTCATTCTCGCTGTTTTTCAAGGCAACTGTTTTTGCGAGGCGTTACTGAAGGTACACATTGTCCTTCTCATTTCTCTACCTTAACATGTAGTTAGGCTTAAACATCTGCGTGCCCTGACAAGCAACCCCAGAGGTCAGCACTAGTTTGTAAAATGCTAAGCGGCTTTGCACATTAAACAGTTTCGGATGAGCGCGTGCTGCTGTAGGTATCTCTCTGCTGATCCGTTACCTCCACGACGGGGACGGCACACAAGGCCACTCCCAGCCCTGTGCCCACCACTTGGTGCCATCGTCCACTCACGCCTGGGAGGCAGCGTCTCCTAATACTGGCCAGGACAGGGAAGCTTTGCCTGGAAATGCAAGAAACAAAGTTAAGCGCAAGAAATAACCAGCCTGTGGTGGCAAATAGGTATCAAAGAGGAAAAGAACACCTAGAAGCTGTTCTGGGTGACCTAGTCTCTACCAAGCCTCTGTAATGCAGCTGCATAATAGTGAAGGAGTAAGTTTGTTTTAAATTCTGTTACATTACATAATTATAAGTGCAAAAAAAGAAGACAAGCACAGTAACTAGTGCATTATTAATCCTTTGAGAGAGGATAGGTACCTTCTCTGGTACCAACACGCTACTAATATTTAATAATATTGAAAAGCAAATTAAAAGCATGCTTAAGAGTGGCAGATGGTTCATGCAGGTGAGCCATAGGACGGGTAATAGCTCGCTGCAGTCCAGTGCCTCCTGGGGCCTCATCCAGTCACTTTTATTTACAGCCAGTGTTGTGCAAGTGTCTGTGGGGTCGGAGCTATCCCTGAAATACTCGAGCAGGAAACCAGCAACACTCAGTTAGGAGAACCGTTCCGTTGTACAGCCGTTTTCTGACAATCACTGCTCTGTTCTCCTTCGTTTATGTTGGGTACTCATGAAGCTACAGCCCAGCACTACCCAGGGCTGTACGGGTACCA